ATACTGCTCACGAAAACTGTAAAATAAAAAATGAAAACTCTGCACGGAAAAATCTTGTAGTGTTTGCGCCAATCTGCTAAACAAAAATTTCATGCACTGATTCGGATTCAAGCGGCCCCAGATTCGTCAACGTAGCTCCGCGCTACCATGAAGAAATATATGGAAGATAACTACACTAAGGGCCTACACTACTAACAAGAACCCTGAGCAACTCTTTGACACTACAAGGCTGCGTGGTACACTTCTCGATTTGTTCGATTTGTGCGTGTCATCCAAGAACGTGTTGACCTGGGCTGCAGGGGCCATGCTAATCTTCTCTGGGTCGTTGCATTCCGACACTAAACCTTATAAACCCTAAACCTTATAAACCCTAAACCCTAAGCCCCCCTAAACCCTAAACCCTAAACCAAACCCTAAACCCTAAGACCCTAAAAACCCTAAACCCTAAACCCGAAAAACCCTAAACCCTAAACCCTACCTAACCCTACCCTTAAACGCTATACCCTAAAACCCTAAACCCTAAATTCTAAACCCTCCCTGAACCCTAACCCCTAAAACCCTAAACCCTAAAACCGTGTGGCCCTAAACCCTTAAACCCTTTAACCCTAAATAAGCCCTAACTAACCCTCCAGTTAAACCCGAATTTAAGGTTTAGTTACATGTTGACTTAAACCGGATTTATAAAACCTTAAATACCCGAAACCCCTATCCCCCATAAACAAGCACCACACTCACCACCACCGCAACATGCACGACGACATGCAACGCGACCACGGAACAGCACCACCACCACATAACACCACAGCACCACATCAAACCACATAACACCACATAACACCACATAGCAACACATAACCCCAACTAACACTAACTAACTAGCTAGCTAGCTAACTAACTAGCAACACCAACCAACACCAACCAACAACAACACCACCACATCCACCACATCCACCGCATCCATCACATCCACCACATACACCACATACACCACGTACACCACATACACCACATATACCACATACACAACATACACCACATACACCACCACCAACCACCAACCACCACCAACCACCACCACCACCCGCCACCACCACCACCACCACCACCACCACCACCACCATCACCTACGCCACCATCACCTACACCACATACACCACATACACCACATCCACCACATACACCACCACCACCACATCCACCACATCCACGACATCCACCACATCCACCACACCCACCACACCCACCACCCCCACCACCGCCGCCACCGCCACCACGGCCACCGCCACCGCCAACCCCACCACCCCCACCACCAGCAGCAGCAGCAGCAGCAGCAGCAGCAGCACCACTCCTACTCCTGTCAGGCCATCAGTGAACCCGGGCCTTCTCTTCTTCCTTCTTCTCCTGCTTGACCTGCCGCAGCACAATGCAACATGAGCCTTGGAAAGCCTTGCCATCCGTACAGCTAAGACAAGAATCAGAAACATCACCAAATAACGAACCAACCAAGGTCAAGGTAAGCACGAAGACAATGGAAGTTGACCAACCCCTTAAAGTCACAGGGACTCGACTGCGGCTATGTAGCTAGGATCCCTCCTAACCCTCAGTTCCATTACACTTCTCATAGGAAACCCCAAAACCCAATCTGCAGACTACCTTGCACAATGCTGTTCCTTCGCGTCTCAGATTCTAAACTTAAAGCCCAAACACCAATGAAACCCTTGACCCAAAACCCTACAATACCCCTTAGGTAGATAGAATATGGGGTGTATGGGGATCTTATTTCAATATACCCCAAGCCACATTCTATCTACTTAAGGGGGACTACAAACTCTACACTCCAGACCGTGGGGTTCTGGCCTTCGCATCGAGCTCTTCTTTTTTGATGGTGCCGTCCTCAACCATGGAGCACTCGAAAGGGAGGTTGAGGACTTGGTCCGTTCCCGCTACTACGTGGCACTTAGGACCCCTACTAAGGGTTAACCCTTATTTACCTACAATAAGAATATAAGGGAATCCCAAAGGGTTAAGGGTCTAAGGTCCAAGCTAAGTCCCAAGGTGGCTAATAATCCATTTTCCCCCCGCGGTGTATCATGGTACTGTAGTTGGGGGCATGTAAACCCTAAACCCTAAACCCAAACCATAAACCCTGTACCATTAGGGGCTGGGGGGTTCATGTCTAGGGGAGGGAGCAGTGAAGTTTGACATCTAGCGTGGCTTGTTCAGCTCCATAGTGACAGTGGAGGCTACAAGGGTATAGCCCTGTATTTCAACCTGGTTTAAGGGGACAAGACCCGGGACGTAAGCAGCTTCCGCATCATATTCAGATAGGATTTGCCGAGCTGTTGCTTGAAATGTTTGAAGGCTTCCCTGGTCGGCTGTACGCAGAGTACATATAAGCAGCAGTTACCACCGCCATCACCACAATCCAACAAAGGGATCGACGGCACATGCACCCCTTAAGCTCTAAACCCTACACCCCAACATCGCTCAACCTCTAAACACAAAACCCTACAAACCTCTACACCCTGAACCTCTAAACCTAGACTCCTTGACCCAAAACCTAGACCCCTTGACCCAAAACCTAGACCCCTAAACCTTAAGCCTCTGAACCATAAGGCCCTAGACCCCAAAGGAATGCTCTGGCCTCAATCTTCACCGTACCCTGCATGAAGCTGGCTGGGTCAGCCATGACCTGCACATCCCGATGGACTTTCATGATTGGAGAGTTTAGGGTTTAGGGCCTAGGGAATCATGATCAGGATTATTGTTATTGTCATGATTACCGTAGTGGTTGTTAATTAGAAGAATTATAACTATAACTCTTATTCGCGCTGTTCACTATCATGATTAGCAACATCGCTACTTTTACTTTCAAGTACAGTAAAAGTATTCCATTCATGTGTTTAACTCTTCATTGAACTATTGCCAATTTCTATCGAACTGTTATTGTTCAACCCCAAACCCTGAACCCTAACACTAAACTGGAAACCCTAAATCCTAAACCCCAAACCCTACACCCTATGCCCCAAACCCTACACCCCAAACCTTAACTTGGAACCTGGTGCCCCTTTTTGAAGGGTTTAGAGTTTAGATTTGGCTATATGGGGATGTATAAACTTTCAAATAATTGCGGGGTTCCTTAAGGCAGGAGTTCCTAAAAAAATCCCTCTTGATATCTCTAGGGTTGAGGGTTTAGGATTAAAGCCTAAAATCATAGTCCCTCTATTCACTCCTGTACAACCCTTTAAGCACACGTCACTGTGCAGGAGGTTGGGGATTTCGTGTATTTGAAACTCATATAGGGATGTATATAGGGATGCACTGTGCTGCAGCTACTATGGTTTGAAATTAGGAGCCTCCTCTAAGTCGCATAATTCCTACCCGAAATTCGCACACCAAAGCCTGCCCAAAAGCTGCTAATAAGCAGACGCGAAGCCCTAAACCCTAAACCAATACAATCTAAGTCCCAATGCCTTAAGATTACAATCCTGAACCCGATATCCTAAGACCCTCAAATGTCACAGCCAAAACATCCTACAGACTGAAATTCTCAAGCCCTGAAACCCCTCAAACTCAGAAATCCCTGAACCCTGCAATCTGAACCCAACAGTCTAAGACTTGATGACCTCGAAGCCCTCAACACACCTGAAACCTGAAACTAAGCGCGCCGCACCTCGAAAATCCCAACACCTAAGACCTCTACGAACCTAAAACAGTAAAGCCTGTAAAAAGCTTTACAGCATGCACCCTACACCACCCTTAACGCAAAACCGCTTAAACTCCCTAAAGCCCCAAGCCCCCGAACCCTAAACTACCCTGAAACCCTGAACCCTAAACTACCCTTAACTTAGCCTCAACCCTAAACCACTCTAAACCGCTAACCTCTTAACCCCTAAACTCTTCGACCCCTACAAACCCTTAACCCTTAAACCCCTTCAAACCCTTAACCCTTAAACCCCTAACCCCCAAATTACCCTGAATCCCAGTGCCTCGTCGCCATCTTCGGGCCTCTCTGTCTTTACCTGCAAGGACTGGGTTGAAGGGACTTTACTGGGAACCCCAAACAGGGAATCCCAAGAATATAGCAGGAATATGTAGGAATATATATATATATATAGATATACATATATATGAATATATAGGAATATGTAACAATAAAACAGGAATATACCTACCAGGGTCCTTATATTCCATTATATTCCTATTTTATTCTTGGGGTTCCCTGTTTGGGTTCCCAATAAAGTCCCTTTATGGGTGACGTAAGGTTATTCGCATGCTATCCCATAAAGGTTCAGGATTTAGGGTTTAGGGTATAGGGCTTGAGGTTAAACGCTTAAAGGTTTGTGCTTCTGGGCTGTCATCTCCAGATTTAGAATCTTCGGGCTTTGCGAAAGTGCATGTAGAGGTGTAAGGCCCTCTAATGCTCACACCTGCGTATGCAACTCTGTTCTACGTGCTGAAAAAAGAGTTGGGAAGTGGATCCCCATAATAATTCTAGATCAACCCGTTGACAATCATCCTTTACAATCCCTATTTCCTGTCACACTCCCCCTTATGCACCAGTCAGTCTAAAATCTGCAGAAAACTTGTCTTAGCCCTTGAGCATTCGCTGCATTTACCACTGCCAAGTTCCGTTGCACAGTCCCGTTTAGGTTCCTCAGAGAGTGATTCGCATAATGTAGACCCATGATTAATAAACATAAGCCCGCCCCTCTTAAGGGCCAAAATTTTAGGATCCCTATTATGATCCCTTTTGAGGGGCGGGGGTTTGTTAATCAGGGGTCTGGGGTAGGGGAGTGGTATGTAGGGGTGCACCAAAAAAACCTAAACCCTGAACCCTAAACCATAAGGACCCTAGGATTCTGTTGAGTTCGCTTGTGCAGTGATGCATGCATGCGGTTTGTGTCAAGCCTGGAAGCTTGAGCTAGTGAGTGTAGTGCAGAGCACACAGTTACAGCTAGCAGGTATCGGCATCTCAGGCACTTTCTGCGGAAAAGTTTCTTGCTTGGACTGCTTGCGCATGGCTGTGCTCGGTGCCTAAGCCTAGCATCTAGAGAAAGATGCAAGAGCAGGTTAGGAGCCCAAGCGCTCGCGCTTCAAGGCTTCGTGCTGAGGTTATGGAAGGAGAAGAGGGCGGACCCTCTTATGGCTCCATGGACTCAGGACCAACTCAAGCTGCACTGGGATCGCAAGCTGTGTTAGTCAATGGTGTTGTTTCTGGTGAAGGGCAGTCAGGAGCTGCTTTGGATACGACAACCGGACCTGTGGAGAGCGACGCACGACGCGCGCACGATACAAACAATGTAACACAGCACGCACCCACGCAACCTAACACCTTGCAGCCTCCAGCACAGCAAGCATATGCCGCAGCCGCTTCAGCAGCTGGAACCTTCTCTCCTCTTGTAGGTCAAGTTCATCAGCGGATGACAGTGGGTGAAGTAGCCTTTTCGCCACCAGAAGAGCTTCAGGGCTATGAGGGGGAACGGCTTCAGCAGCCTCCAGTGTGGATCATGCGTTTGGGAGAGTTTCTTCAGCGAAGGGTAACCCAAGCTGGAGCTATGATGACTCCGCTACTTGAAGCACGAAATCCCAGATCCTCAAACCCCTCAAGATCTCCTTTGCCACAGCCGCCAAGGAGCTGGTCTGGAAGTCAACCTCCTGGACTCTTCACTCCAGAGGCGGAAAGGGTAATGCAGCAGTGGGCTAATCAAGCTCCTCTACTACACGGAACGCAGCAACAGCAAGGGAGTGATTCGTCCACTGGATCTTTGACAAGAGAGCAGGTTCTTCATGAAGTGCAGCGGCAAGTTGCAAGAGAAATGCAGGTGTTTAGCCATCAGCAAAGCCTTCTTGAAGCAGAAAACCAGAGACTTAGAATGGAGTTGGAGCGCGCGACTCAAGACCGCCGTGCTCAGGTGATGGATCTTCGTGAAGGGCAAGGGCAAGGCAATCTAGGTGGGTCCCAGGGAAACGTTGCTTTGACATCTGTAGAGGGACGTGGCGACAATCCTCCTGGACTTTGCCCCCAAACCCCTAGGCGCCTAGGGGATCCTCCCGGAAGACAACCTGATCAGAGAGAGCGCGGATATGATCCTTTGCCTGGAGTAGGAAGCTCTGAGGGCGGGCAACGGGGTCCTGGTCTTGTACATCAGCTAGGACAGGCTCCTAGAGATGCTCCTCGAGAAAGTCTACCTAGCCCTCTCCTATTTGCAGAAAATCCACTTGGGGTTCATGAAGGGCAAGGCGCTCGGCCCCCTTTTGAGTCCAGGACAGTGGGCGGTGGAGCGGGCGGTGGACAAGACTCGCAGGGAGCAAATCCCAAGGATCAGGGGACGGCCAGTCCGCACCAAGGTGGAGGCGTTCGCTCTACAGATCCCTTGGGACTTCTTGTTCAAGGAATGGCACAGCTTCAGAGTGTGGTTTCCGAGTCTTTGATGTCAAAGGCCAAGGAACC